ACGTCTGTGATCTACAACTAGACAGATGAGGATTGCCACAGGTATTAATAAAATAATGTGTGATTTCTTACTAGAGAAATTCTTTAGGATGACAAATCCATTGAAGCAAAATCAGGCTCATACTGATCACGTGTACGTCCATGGAAACAAAATTGTCTTAAAAATAAATGCCACAGTTCTGTTTCCTACTGAGTTTGTCATGACACAACTGCAGAGAGGGGAATTTCCTTTCAATGCTTTATCAATATTCAGAATTTTGCTTACTATTTGCTTCCAGATTAAATAGGGAATGGATGCTTTACTCCTATACAGATCAAGTCTCTGGGATTGAAAAGCCTCCTTTAAATTAGAAATATTAACAGTGGTTGTCAGATAATTCTTCTGAGCATTTGATTATGCTATAATTATTACTTGGAAATTTTCAAATTTTCTGTCACATTATCCTTCTATTTGACATCAGAAACTGCTGCCCAGATGGTTCTGCCATGAAACTAATACCTCTCATCTTTAGGCACCACACACTTCCTGGCCTGCACACAGCATGAAATACAAGCTTGTGTGTTAAAAATACTGCAGGAGCCAAATTCAGTGTGCAGGAGCTTGTTCCAGTGTTGAGTACATAAAACGTACTTTTACTATTTTTGAATGGTACACATGTTCTTCAGGTTAGAATATGGCTTATCAGTATTAATTGAGGAAGTGATTCAAGAGATGAAGCTGCAAAAACACATCAGGGAACTTCTCCCACAGTCTAATCCTTTTTATAACCATTTATTGTTATAAAAGTTCTTTCTGTTTAAAAAGTATTGAAAGGGTAAGGACTTTAAGACACTTGAGAAATTTTCTGTTTGTGATTTATGCAGGCTCAGTATTAGCAAATGTGCAAAAAATGTTTCTGCGTAATTTTGTTGGAAAATATGATCTGGAATGGGTGCACATTAAAGCATTTTTTAAAGAAATTCCTCTAATATTTCTTTGGTTTCTCTCCAGAGGGATATAAAAAACTCCAAGGACCAATTTCTCTCTCTCCACATCTCAAACTATGAAAAAAACTGTTTTGGAATCATGTATGTTGCAGATGCTGCAAACTATCCCTCAGAGGTGCCAGAACTGTTTATGAGCATCCTTGAAATCTTGGGAGAATCCTGTGGTCTGTCGAAACATGGACTTTATAGACATTTATTCTGTTAAATTCCATGCCTCAAAGGGTGCAGCAGAAGCACTGATTCCCCTTAGAATGGCTGCTCATAACCCAGCTGCTGAGAGTGGAGGGGGTTTAGGGGAGAAACCTCTTGGCACCATGGTAGCTGTGGTTCTAGCCATGGTGTCTGCAAGTATTTTGTACAGTCTTTAAGGTCCCTTCCAACCCAAACCTTTCTGTCATCCTGTTCCGGAACAGTTCTTGCACCATTAATGCTATAAATGTGATACATAAGGTTTTATTAATCAGTTTTGTAATTAATGTTCTTGCACCATTAATGCTATGAATGTGATACATAAGGTTTATTTATTAATCAGTTTTATAATTCTCATGTTATCCAGTATTTTCCCTAGCTCTGTGTAAGCTATTTGCATTCTTCAGATCCCACAATCTGTAAAAGTGCAAAATGAAAAATACACCATGGGTAATGATTTTTGTACTCACCAAGTTGTATGTTAATTGTATTTTTTCACCAAGAAGAATAGTTACATATTTTAAGACCTTTCTCAGTTTTACTTGTTTTTACCACAACTATTTCTGTCTTTTCTGCTCCTGGCATTTCCAAGAAAAGCAAATAGAAGGGAGAAACAACATGTCATTCATTGCAATACCTTTTTGAGTTTGGGATTATTTGGGTTTTTTTAAGTTTTAGGGTATTCAGAGCAACTGTGGTTGCTGTTGTACTGAGGAGGAAGGCATATCTTATGGCAGGAGCCCAGATGGGAGAAGTGAGCCCAAGGTGTCTCCAAACTTCAGGCTTATACTTCTTAGATAATTTTTTCAAAGCAGATAGATTCCTGGGGTGTATAAACCAGACAACACCATGCAGATTGCTGGTTTTGAGGGGAGAGGAGGAGTTTAGTTCATTACTGGCGGACGTCATACTTCTTATTTTCTGAAATTAATTTATTTGGGAATGAATGTGAGGAGATGTTTAGACTAAGACAGATAACATGATTTCAGGGTTAGGCCATTGAACTCCTGGGGACCAGGTGCACTCTATCAATTGTGTCTGCAGAGAAGATAAGAGGCTGCACTTACGTTTGACAGTGCTGCGTGACTCCTGGAACCCAGCCGACTCTGACCCCCAGCCCAGGGCTTCACACTCCTGCTCCTCCCCTTGCCCGTGCCTGGCACTGGTGCTTGCACCCGCTCTGCTCCGCTCTGCCAGCCAGCACATCCTCCAGAGCCCCACAGTGCGCTTGCGCCCATCCTCCAGCGTTTGGTACACCCAGTTGGGGGTAAAGGCAGCCGCATTGTTAAGGATGAGTGAGACCAGGGCTACCAACACGGCTGTGGCTACCAGTTTCTGGACAGTCATATCTGACTGTCAGCTTGCTGCCAGTCTCTAATTGCAGACGACACGAGGTCCTGGTCAGCTGCAGCACATTGAAATTGGGCTGGGAACTGGCGGCTGCGCTGGGGTGTTACGGGGCGCTAGAGGACATCACCGTTCATTCTTGAAGTCAACTCCAGAGGGATTTCTGACCAAGGAAATGAGAATTTTGTGAGGTAGATAGGAGAATTCCATAAAATAAGAACACAAAGAAGCTTTGTTAGGTCCTTCCCAGCGTTAACTTATCCACCTTCTTGCACTTTGATAAGTAATGCCAGTCCCGTGGTGAACTGGATGACACTCCCTGTGTCCATTCCGTGTTGGACGGGGTGAATCCAAACAGAATCCAGTGTCGGGGCAGGAGAGTCTGAGCTGGGGTGGGGCAGAAGTGGGATGTGATGCTCGCTGTAGCCTGCTGAGCACTGGATCCTCCAAGCCAACCAGTGCTGCTCCAAAAGCCTGGCTTTGGGTGCAAACTTCAGAATATCCTGCAAACGGTGACAGATGTCATCCTCTCAAAGCTAAGCCGACCCAGAGGGGAGTGTGGTCATCCCAAAGGTGATCTGCAAGTCTGGAGTATCTCGAGGAGGTTGCTCTGCCCTGTCCCTCTCCGAAGAGCCGAGCTGTGAGTGCGGGGACAGGAACAGCCACTGCAGTGAGGAAAAGGCCCCCCCACCTCCCCACCAAGAGGAAATGGCTGTTTTTGTGGCTCGTTTTGGTGAGACTCAGGGCGTAGTCGACTGAAAAAAAAAAAAGAAAAAAAAGAAAAAAAAAGAGCTACTGCCACGGCAGTCAAACATTAACAGGATGTGTTTCCTGAAAGGAAAAGACTATGGAGACTTCTAAAGTTGTCCCTCCTCCCCTCGGAAAGCCCCCTCTCTGCCTCGCGCCTCCTCCCCTCGCCCCTGCCCCCATCAGGGCTGCCGGGACCTGAAGCGTCTCGGAGAGCCCGGGGAGCACAGCGGAGCTCTTCGGGAAAAGAAAGAGAAGGAAATCCCAGCTTCAGCCCTCGGGGCATCAGCTCTGTGGAAGCGGATCGAGGAGAGGGGTTTTGAAATACCTTTTACTAGAAGCAAAACAATATTGGGGTTCGCTGCTGGACAGCGCGACGAAAGCGCTGCGGGGGTGCCCTGATGTCCGCGTTCTCTCTGCACTATAGTGCATAGACCATAGACCGTGGCAGATAAATAGGAAGTAAAAAATCTCTAGATTCTCAGCCCGATAACAACCCGGTTTGGGGGTATCTGCAAAGACAAGGGCAAGTGTTCGGGTGTGAGGCTGAGAGTCACCGCACAAGCGCCGGCGTGGAGCTGGCACAGCCGAGTCCCGGAGTGCCGGGCACGCTGCTGGCTCCGCGGAGCCTCCAGGGAGGCTGCCCACCCCTCTCGCTGCCCAGGACTTGGAAACTTTGCTGCCGTGTGCTTGATAGGATGTCCCTGCTGACAGCCCAGTACGGAATGGACTGCCACCGGGCAATGCAGGTGTTCCTCTGATAAACCGGTTAAAGAGGGTTGTTGAGGGCACTCCAAACTGTCCTTGAACCTGCGTGTTTCCAGAGCGGTCTTGCCCAGACTGGCACTCCAGACGGCTCTTTGCTGTTTGCTGTTGTCATCAGCTGCCTCGGCAGCACCAAGACGAGGACAGGGATTGTGGTGGGTGCTGCCTTGCGGCCGGGCAGTACTGCCTGGGGTTCTGCCTCTCCTGAGCTGAGCCTGGCACCGTTCTTCAGGCTGCACAAATCCCGCACGAGTGTAGCATTGCCTTCACGCACTGAACTGAAGGCACAGCATCCAGTCAGCACTGAGGAGACCTGGCAGAGACCTTCCTCACCAAGCACCACCACACCTGAGGGGCTGACACAGGCGTTCACTGCAATCAATAAATTAGATTAGAAACTGATTTAATTTTATAGTGGCTCTGTCTTACCAGGCAAGAGGCTTTGCCCCTAACCAACCAATCTGCCCTGACCCAATACACAGAAAGATGCTCCTATAATTAGTTTTCAGCTACTGAAGTTGAATGTACTAACCTATGAGCTCAACTCTCCTCCATGTGTTCTGATAATTTTTAATCTTTAAACATATGAAGCTTTAAGTACTTTGAGCATCATCATCCTTTGAGAGCACTAGAGCATCTTTGATTTCTCTTTTTCCCTATAATTGGTCATGTTTCTGTATCTTGCAGTTTTTAGAACTTAAACATATATTTGTATAAACACACAAGTGTCTGCCATTCTTCAAAGAAATTTCCTATCAGCAATGACTGTCTTTGCATATTTTAAACCCCTTGGATTATTTGCTATTATGATTCTGTGTTTATTATAAGCCAGGGATTCAGCAGCAAGACAGATGATGTTTATCTGCAGATAACGCCAGGAGAGATTTACCTTTACAGAAATGTCACATACCTGCGTCTGTCTCCTCCCATTTGATATTTGCAATTTGATGAAGTCTGAGTATTTATTTTCAGCAGAGCCCAAGCTTCTTTCTTTTATGTAACATTAAAAACAGTTACAATTATATTTTACAAAGGCTGAACCAATCAGTCTAGTCATAGAATCATAAAGGTTGGAAAAGATCAAGTCCAACCATTGCCCCAGCCACAGACCTATGTCCCCAGGTGCCACATGCACACAGCTTTTAAATCCTTCCAGGGATGTTGACTCCAATACTGCCCTGGGCAGCTGTGCCAGTGCCTGACCACCCTTTCCATGAAGAAATTTTTCCTAATATCCAATTTAAACAGTAATGGGAATCCTGATCCTTAATAAAAAACTACCTTAGTGAATGCTTCTTTGCTGACATACAGGCAGCAGGATGTGCATTTTGCACTCACTGTGTTCTGTGAGGCGCAGGGGTTTGTGTCATGCAACCCACATGGAGCAATCTCTTGGTTGGTTGGTTTTACAAGGTTAAGTTTGGAACAAAGCTGTGTATTCAATGGGATATTATATACTCTATTAATGGGATATTATATACTCATATACTCTATTATAGATAGAATATATTCTATTATAGATAGAGTCTGTGAAGCTGCTTTATCAAATGGTCTGTTTCTGCCAGGGAAGTATTTTTAGGAGTAGCCTCATCAGATTTCAGCATTTGGATCAGGCATGAAAATGCCTGACTTTTCTTAGACTAGCTCATATCTTTAACACTATCAAGAGTCTCATTGAACTGTTGCAACTTTTCATCTATTAGTTCCTTGTTGTCTTTTAGTCCCACAGAAAGATATAACCAAAATCCCATAAATGCAATTTAAAAGCATCAAACCTATTTTAGTTACATCAGATAAAACCTAATTTTCTCAAGTCCCTAGTTTTCCAGTCTAGTGGAATGTCCCTACCCTTGGCAGGAGTTTGGAACAAGATGTTTTTTAATGTCCCTTCCTACCAAAACTATTCTGTGGTTCTGTGATTATCAATAATATAACATTAGAGGTTGAAATATTAATTTGTTATATATAACTTGTGTATTATAGGGTCAGTTGGTACCCAACAAAGTGGGGCCCAAATTGAAAAGAGGTTTTTTTTTTACCCTGATCCTGATCAGTGTTCATTTTCCAAATATAGCCCATTAAATAGAGGGAGAAAAGGTTTTTCAGTGAAATGCCTCAGACATAGAAATCTCCAACACTTCTAAATAATAGTCAATTTTTTCTTTAAACTTTTGTGCTAAATAGGCAATGAAAAATATATGGGATCTGAAGGGTTTGTAAGATCAGACTGTGGATGCTGTAAACACAGTTCCACAGAAAAACAGATGTGAAAGGTCAGACACAAAGCACATTTCATCAAATATGTGGTAAGATTTGTGCCCACTCTTAACAGGCATCACCATTTGCTTCCCAAATCCCTGGCACTATGGATGTGGCCTGAAGCCTGGGAGCACAGGGTGCAGCAGTAGATGGTGTATCCCTGTGCCTTGTGGGGGGGCTTGGGGCTCCCTGGGTGCTTGGGATGCCTTCCCATGGCTCTGCTACCACTGCTGCTGTGCCTGGGCTTCATTAAGTTTCCAGCTTCAGCTGATGAGGTACAGATGTGAGAGGCTTTCCAGTGGGGATGAAAGGAGGAGGAGGGGAAGAACAGGAAATTCCTGGAGTCAGAGTTGGGGGCAGGGAAAAATATTACTTGGCATTTTATATGGACAGTGGAGCCAGGCCTGGAGAGTTGCTGCCTTTTAGGGATGCATCAACAGTTTCAGCTTTCTTACTGCACTGGCAGCTACTGGGAGATAAACTGTGGTTTTCCCTGGGCTTTAAGTGAACCTGTTCTGCACCTCCTGTTTCTTGTTCCTTCACCAGACCCACATCCATCTGTCTGCATTTCTGAGGGGCAGCAAAACTTGAGACTCAGAGGTGACCTTATCACTCTCTACAACCTCCTTTCAGCAAGGGACAGAATGAAAGGATACAGTCTCAAGTTGTGTCAAGGGAAATTTAGGTTGGACGTCAGGAAAAAGTTCTTCATGGAAAGAGTAATAAAATACTGGAATTGTCTGCCTGGGGAGGTGGTGGAGTCACCATCCCTGGATGTGTTTAAAAAATAGATTGGATATGGCACTTGGTGCCATGGTTTAGTTGAGGTATTAGGGCATTGGTTGGACTTGATGATCTTGAAGGTCTCTTCCAATCTAGTGATTCTGTGGTTCTGTGGAGGTGCATTCCTGCCAGGGAGGTTGTGTATCTCGTGGCTGAAGTTGGTCTTTGTGAAACACAGAGAGAAATGGAAGCGGATTGTGGGTGCTCCCAGGATCCCCTCCCCTTCCCTACCGTCTCCTCTCCACATGCCTTATCAGAGCATCATCCCTCTTGTGAAGAATGTGTCTACTGGAAAGAACCAGTCTCTGCTGCAGTTCCATGGGGACCATAGCTGTTGCTCTGCCCTGTGCAGCTGCTAATCAAACCCAGTGAGGTATGGGAACTGCTCTGGGCAGAGCAAGGCTGGGTTCCTTAGATGAAACACTCCTTCAGGTGTTTCTGCAAGGCAGAACCCAGGAGAAGAGATGGTCAGGAGAACCTGCCATGGGTTCTTGTGCTGGTGAGCTGCCCTGATCATGTCTCTCAGAATCTTAGAATCATGGAATGATTTGGGTTGGAAAGGACCTTAAGGACCATCTGGCACCAACTCTCTGCCATGGGCAGGGACGCCTTTCTTTGGTATCCCTCTTATCTCTTGCTGTGGTCTCTGTACTGCATGAGTCCATGCAAGCTGTGCTCTGCCATGAACACTGTTAAATTCAGTGTCTTTGGTGCCTGGTATGTTCACCTCCTGCCCAGTTGGGGTGGCAGAAGGCATTGCCTGCTAGAATAAAACCAACTGCAGAGCACATCCACTGCAGATGTTTCTCCCTCTGCGTTTGTTGTCAGCGTACCCATGGCTCAAACCTCTCAGGTTCATTTTGCAAATGGTTTGGAGTGGAGGGGCAAGAGGTGGGATGGCTGAACTCCAGCTCCTCAGGGCCCATGTACCTGGGTGCCATGTGGTCCACAGGCATAGTGCATGGGGGGCAAGAGCTCCCAAAGAGGTGTCCTACAGGCAGCAGCTCCTGCTGAATTTTGACATTGGCAGGAGTTGTTGCCATCCAAGAAAGCATAACACAGCTGAGAAATGATGAGCAACATCTCCTAAATCCTGCTGTGACTCTTTGCATACTGTTATCTTTTAACTTTGTGCTTTAAAATACACTGTGTAGTCTGTTTCCTCTCAAAAGTTTCCACTCCCTGTAGTCTAAATAAGAATCTCATGCGCTCGCCTGTTTGAGCCAATGAACTCTCATCTTCCTGCATGGAGGGAGTTGAGAGCTGTCAGAGCCCTGCAAAATAAAGACTTTGATTTCCTTTCTGAAACTCACTGTTAGTCAGCTTGACAAAGCCCAGTACAGACGTGCGTTCTTTCACCCAGAGCCAACTGGCTGTTGGCAGCTTCTTCTGGCATGCTGCAGAGCTTGGAAAATTTACTTCTCAAGTGCTGTGTAGCACAGCTGTACCCAGGCACTGCCTATGAGCTTTGAGCAGCTCTTCCTAAGGACAGAACTCAACTGGCTGTGTTGTTCAAAACCAGGTTAACATAACTAACATCACACTGAGCATGTCAATGTTCTTTAAAGGTGTTTTTCCTAGTTTTCCAAACTCCAGATACAGATAGTGTCTGGAATAAAAGAAAACTATTCCAACTTCTCAGAAATTAGGAAGGTCACATCTGCTGACACAAGGCAGCATTTCTGTATTCTGAGTGGTGATGCATGGAAGTATCTGGCACTGCTTTCTGTCAGGCCCTCTCAGGTCTGAAATTACCATGCTTTATTTCAATGTTCCTTTTGACTCCTCAGCTGGGGAGTTTGGACATATAGAAGAAGAGCATAGGAGGCTGTGTTTGAGTACCACTCAGTTGTAAGAAAGGTAGCACTCAGACATGCATTTTTGCTTTTCTAAACCAGAAACACTTCTGATGTTTCTGAAATTTGTCCCTGATTTATCACTTCTCTTTTTTTATTTTCTCTATACCATTTGTCCTCAGTGAAGTCTGTATCACTTACTCATGTTGATCACTACTTGAAACCTTTATAAGAGTTGCACTGCAAGTAAAAGACGATATAATTCTAAAGTAAATTATGCAAGGGATTTTTCGTGTGCCTTTTCTTAGTGTATGTGTTGAAGAGCAGGTCGTGGTTCACTTGTTCTGTCCCTTCCCAGTTAGTCACTTTCTCCTGTTTGTGCAGGGCTTTCCCACAGCCACTGGAAACAGAAAAACATTTTAATCATAGGAAAACTGGAAGGTAATTTGGTGGCAGGTCGTAAAGTATCATTCTCTTCTATTATTTTCTTATTTTTTCCCTGCTTTTAAAATTTATGTTTACTTTGTGCTGTGTCTGTGCCTGAGAACTGCATAGACTGTACCTCTGCTGAGGGTAACATTTCGGATGCTCATGGTTTTTATTAGTCAAAGATATTGCATGAAATTCTGAAGAGCCTCAAATGTGAATAGAATCTATGAAAATCTTTGCTTGTCCCACTCTGTGATGGTCAGTTCTGTTGTGGCCCTTCTGCTAAGCAATTCTGCTGAGAGCATGGTCCTCAGCCCTTCCTGCCTTGCCTGGGCAGGGGACTTTGCAGTGTTAACTCCAAGCTCATAGCCTTGAAGAGTTCTTGTTCAGAGCACCACAAAGCTTTTCTTTTTGCCTGTTGCATACAAGTTTTAGATTAGAACATGGTTGTTTGGTAATTTTTCTACACATTATTCCCTATTACTGAGTACAACAATTGGGCTCTCAATAGTTTCTCAGTATTTAAACTATTCCAGACTGCAGCAGGAGATTTCCAGTGTGAGGTTAAGACTTTTCTCATAATTTTAATTTTGATTTCTGAACATGAGTGTGGGAATTGTGACTGTCTATAGGTTGCAGTTACAGCAGGATGGGCACATGATAAATGTTTATATTTGTGCAAACACAGAATCATGGACTGATTTGGGTTGGAAAGGACCTTAAAGACCATCTTGTTCAACCCACCCCTGCTTTGGGAAGGGACACCTTCCACTGTCCCCAGGTTGCTCCAAGCCCCTTGAACACTTCCAGAGATGGGGCAGCCAAGACTTCTCTGCGCAGCCTGTGCCAGGGCCTCACCAACCTCACAGGGAAGAATTTCTTCCAATCTGAATCTCCCCTCCTTCAATTTAAAGCCA